TGTGGCCTGTAGGCCTTTCCCAGACAGGCCTGTAGGGTTGGGGGTGGGGCCTCTGGCCTCCCCATGTGACGGGGCACCAGGCAAACGTGTGCTCCCTGGAACCCCCTGGGCACACACGGGCTGCCGGGGAGCCAGCAGGGTCCCGGCACTGGGAGCCCGGAGTCACCCTGTGGGGGAGGGGGGCTGTGACCCGTGCCCCCACCCACCATGGGCAGCGTCCCTGTGGGGAGGGGCCACAGACAGACTGAGCACAGGGCACCCACCGCATCCTTGCTGTCTCTGGGAAAGGCCTCCCTGACGTAGAGGGAGCCCACGGCGCTCTCCATGTTGCTGTTGACGTAGCTGACACATTCTCGCCAGCGCACCTCCTCCACGGTCGTGCCGTAGAGCACCTGCCGCGTAGAGCACCCATTCACGCACTGCTGCCTCCCTGTCCTCAGCCCGAGCGCCCAGCGGCCAGAGCGGGGCACCGATGAACTCTGACCTCCCCGGGGACTGCCGGCCGTGGGCGTGGGCAGGACGGCGTCTGCGCTTTTCAGGGGAGGGCTCCCCACCCAGGCTGGAAGTCTGGCCTCTGCCCCGGGACAGGGGTAGGACCCTGCTCAGCCCCAAGTGCCACCTTGCCCCCTGTTCTCACCGCCCTGGCCTGGCTGGCCAGCCCGACTCTGACCTCTTGGACCCCAGCCCCCCACCGAAGCACAGGCTGGTGTTGACTCTGGAGGCCCTGGGGGCCACATCCAGCTCAGCCTTAAGCCACCGGCTCTCCGGCCCCCAGTGGGTTTTCCCATCGCCAGAGTGGAGACGCTCGGCCAGTAGTGTCTCCACCCAACCCGCCAAGGCAGACGCCCCGACTTGCCCCAACTTCCCTGATGCGCTGGAGGGCTTCTGTCCGTCCCGTTTCTCTAGCGAAGAACCTGGGGGTCCGCCTGACTCCCCTGCCCCTCAGCCCCCTGCTCGTACCTCAACTGTCTGTTGTCCACACTTACGTCTGCTCCTGAGGCCCTGGTCCAACCCGTCACCCCGCCCAGACAACGTGTGTCTGCACTCTGACCCCACGCCCCCTCTGATCGAGGCCTTGGAACAGCCACCATGACCACAGGCCTTCCCGGTGGGTCCCCTGCCTCTGCCCTGCCCGCACCCCCACCCCCAGCAGCCAGAATGACCACACAAGCAGGACGCTAGGCTGTGGTTCCCGCTCTGAACACCCTGGCGGCTTTCGAGGCACGTGGAATCCACGTTCGGCTCAGTCCCACGATTGCGGGCCCCCACCTCTCTCCCCGACCCCGTCTCCTTCCTTCCCACCACGTGGCCCGGGGGTGTCCTGCCTTGGGAATCTGCCCCCAGCCTCTTCGTGTCTGGGTCATTCTTGCCTGGAGGTCTCCAGTATCACCCGCACAGAAAGGCCATCTCTGTCCCATACCTTCCTGTCATGTCCTACTTGTTGCTTTGAAAGAGTGGCTCTCCGGTTTGGCGACTGTCCCAAGAGGGCAGGCGTTGTCAGCCTCTTGCACGGCTCTGCCCCCGGCGTGGACCTTGGCGTTTGGCCCAGAGCAGGTGCCCGGCACCATGAACTAAGTGAACAAACGACAGGCCAGGGGTAGGAGCCACCGGCGTGGGGCCCCACTCACCTTACGGTAGTTAGCTCGCGCATCCTTGAATCGCTGGCTCAGGCTACTAATGCGGTCCAGCACCAGGCGCCAGGCCAGGTAGTTCTGCATGGTCCTGTGGGCAGGAGGCAGAGGGCGGGGCATATGACAGGCATGTGGAGTTTGTCCAGAGTGGGGATTGTGGGCTTCTGTGACGAACAGGCGCTTGCGCCAAGCAGGATGGTGGAGAAAGCCTCTGGGACAACCTCCAGATACAGCCTGTCTGCTCCTAGATGCCCAAAAAGTCCCAGGGAGGGTTCGCATCTCTCACTAAGGTTCTATCGGCCGCTAATATTTATCTGCCCAGAGAAGATGCTCCCTGGGGTACTTTCCCATGAGGAGACGTGGGGGGCGGGGTGCAGAGGCCGAGATGCCGAGGCCTCTGGGGACCTTCCCGGGGCCTCACCTGGCTGAGTAGACATCGATGATGTCTTCAAGGTTCCGGAGGTAGGGGATGCCATACACCACGACTTCCTCATCTGGCAGCAGTTTGATTTTGACAGAGGACAGCACAGATTGTATGAAGAGGGTCCAGTTAAACCCCTGGGAAGGCGGGCGTTCGGAGAAAGAGGGAGAGAACAGAGAGGTAGGTAGACACAGCTCGTGGGCATCCAAGAAACCCAGCCCCCACCAGAGAATATCTGGGGAATCAGAGGGAAGGCACAGATGATCAGAGTCAGGGTGAGGGTGGGTGACATCACCACAGAGCCTACAGACTGTGGAAAGAGATCACGCCAACGTATTTGAAAACTTGAACGTGATGGAAAAATTCCTGAAGAGTTTAGCAATACGATCTATAGAGTATATATCTAATAAATATAAGAACAGTAGAAATATAGTCTTACAGGTAATAAATTGATCTTTCATTCGAAATATTCCCACATGGAAATTTCTAGAACCATCTGCCTTTTCCAGTGGATGCTATCTGACATTTGTGGAAGACATACTGCCAGTCCTACTCAACTTTCCAGAGGAGAGAGGAAGAGAAAAATCTTCTCAATTTGATTTATGAGGCCAAGAAAAACTTGAATCCCCAAATAAGGATATTACAAGGAAAGAAGGTAACAGGCTAGTGTCGTTTATGATCATAGACAAAAAAAATCCTACGGAAAATATTAGCAATTAGGATTTATCCACACCTACATAATATGGATAATACATCACAGCCAAATTCGATTTATTCAAGAATTCAAGTTTGGTGTGTAAAATTTGAAAATCGAATCAAGTAACTCACGGTGGTAACTAGATAAAGCAGGATAATCACATCCTAATTTCTTTTTTTTATTAAAAAATTTTTTTTAATGTTTATTTTTGAGAGAGAGAGAGAGACAGAGCGTGAGTGGGGGAGGAACAGAGAGAGAAGGAGACACAGAATCCGAAGCAGGCTCCAGGCTCCGAGCTGTCAGCCCAGAGCCGGACATGGGGCTTGAACCCATGAACTGTGAGATCAAGACCTGAGCCGAAGTCAGGGGAGGGGCAGAGAGAGAGGGAGACACAGAATCCGAAGCAGGATCCAGGCTCCGAGCTGTCAGCACAGAGCCCGACGCGGGGCCCGAACCCACGAACCGTGAGATCGCGACCTGAGCTGAAGTCGGACGCTTAACCGACTAAGCCACCCAGGCGCCCCGATCACATCGTAATTTCAATGGATGCAGGAAGAAAGGCGTTTAATGAACTTTGCCGTCTGTTCATGACAAGAAGTCCTAGCGGACTAGAGCTAGAAGGTAAATTCAACAGTCTGGTGAGGGGAATCCACATACAGCAGCAGCAACCCCGAAAACAAAACCGCCCACAGCAAACGTCAAAACTGAGGGAGGAAACGGGACATCTACTATCGTGATTGAGGGTCCCTGCTAGCTCAACAAGACAAGTAAATGACAGAAAGTCAGTAAGGGTTTGAAAGGGAAGAAATAAAACTTATTGTTCACAAAGGACCTGATTTCACGTGCATAAAACCTGAAAGGAACTGCAGATACGTAGAGTATTGGAATGAGTGTGTGCGCGGAATAAAACTGCCGTGTCCGAGGTCAGAGCCTCTGCACAGGCGCAACAAAGAATCCGAAGATACATCACACAGTAAGACCTTTCGTGCCAGTGTCAGAAACCGAAGGGCTTGGGGCGCCCGGGGGGCTCAGTCGGTTGAGCGTCCGACTTCAGCTCAGGTCGTGATCTCACAGCTCGTGGGTTCGAAACCCGCATCGGGCTCTGTGCTGACAGCTCGGAGCCCGGAGCTGCTTCGGATTCTGTGTCTCCGTCTCTCTCTGCCCCTCCCCCACTTGTGCTCTGCCTCGCTCTATCAAAAATAAATTAAATGTAAAAAAAAAAAAAACCCAATAAAAAAAAAGAGTGCAGCGGGGGCGCAAACTGCCGTGTTCTCAAACTTGACTGTGCGGCCGTCAGCACGGCTGGCCCGGTGAGATGGGGTGTA